GAAAGGTGAATATAATGAATGCTACTGAATTGCACACTCAAAAATGGTTATGATGGCAAATTTTATGGTAGATACATTTTGCCACATAAAATGTTCAAAACGAAACAACTAGCAAGGTGGGGAAAACCAGGTAGGTGGGGTCACTGATGCCCGGGGGAGGGGACCAACAGTGCAAGTGCCACAAAGACTTCAAACAAGATCAGGACATGTTCCTGCCAGTGATTAAAAAGTGGGTTTTAAAGAAATCTATGTATTTCATCCCTGCCTCCATGGCAGCAGAAAGCTATGTCAGCTCAAGGGGTGAGGGCAGAGAGGCAAGGTGCACAGAAGCACTGCTTGGTTGCATCCCTCTGGTGCCAGACACCGGCAAGGCCTCCAGCCTCAAGCACATCACCTGCCCCTGGCTGATTTGAAGCCCCCTACCAGCTGAGTTTCCAAGCCCTGGTGGCGCAGTGGTTAAGAGCTTGGCTGCTAACCAAGTGGTCGGCAGTTTGAATCCACCAGCCGCTCCTTGGAAACCCTGTGGGGCTGTTCTACTCTGTCCTATAGGGTCGCTTTGAGTCAGAATCAACTCGAAGGCAACGGGGTTTTTTGGTTTTATTTTTTTTACCAGCTAAGTGTGCCTGACTAAGGTGCGCCTGACCCAAACCAGAGTATTTTCAATTGCCTCATATGCATGCAAAAGCTGGACAATAAGGAAGACCAAAAGAAAATTGACGCCTTTGAATTATGGTATTGGCAAAGAATATTGACTATACCATGGACTGCCAGAAGAATGAACAAATCTGTCTTGGAAGAAGTACAGTCAGAATGCTCCTTAGAAGAAAGGATGGCGAGACTTCATCTCACATACTTTGGACATGTTATCAGGAGGGACTAGTCCCTGGAGAACGACATCATGCTTGGTAAAGTAGAAGGTCAGTGAAAGAGAGGACGCCCCTCAGTGAGAAAGCCTGACACGCTGGCTGCAACAAGGGGCTCAAACATAGCAAGGGCTGTGAGGATGGTGCAGGACCAGGTACTGTTCTATTGTACATATCATGTCGCTATGAGTCAGAACCGGCTCGATGGCGCCTAACAATGACCACAACCAGTTCTTTGAGGGTGTTGGTGGTTCCGTGGTAGAATTCTCACCTTCCATGCAGGAGACCCAGGTTCGATTCCCCGCCAATGCACCTTATGTGCAGCCACCACCTGTCTATCGGTGGAGGCTTGCGTGTTGCTATGATGCTAAACAGGTTTCAGCGGAGCTTTCAGACTAAGACAGACTAGGAAGAAAGGCCTGGCGATCTACGTTCAAAAATCAGCCTATGAATGCCTGATGGATACAATGGTCTAATCCAGGTGTGCATGGGGTCAGGCACAGACTCACAGGCAGCTAACAACAATGAGGTCTTTATTCCACCTAGCTGGGCCTCCTCCCTCCAGCCCAGGCTGCCTGGATACCACAGAGAACGCTACAGTCTTCCTGGAAGCTTCTCCTTGTTTGCTTTCTAGGGAGACAGGCCTAGGGATTTGTAATGTGCTCTTTCAAAGGCCTATGAGGGCTGTTTGGTGTCAAAGCAAGTCCAAGCACCAGGAGATAAGACATCAAAGGCAACTTTAAAAGAAAGAGAGATAAGTGGCTCAGAAATAATCATACCTAGTGCATTTATTACTCAGCAGAGCCAACGGTGCAGAAGGGAGAGCACAGCTCCAAGAGGGGGAAAATCGGAATCAAACTGACCATCTCTAGCCATACCCATTGCCATAGAGTCGATTCCGACTCATAAAAACCCTATAGGGCAGGGCAGAACTGCCCCATAGAGTTTCCAAGGAGCGCCTGGTGGATTCTAACTGCTAACCTTTTGGTTAGCAGCTATAGCACTTAACCACTACACCACCAGGTTTCCACCATCTCTACAGGCATAATTAATTCATCCGAGTGAGCTGGTTGGCTGTGACCAGCTGGAAAAGCCAAACCAGAGGTGGTTCTGTTCCAAGGGTATGATGTCCCACCCCAAAACGACCAAGTGAATCAGCATTTTTAGTCTTCCATCCAACTGCTTGGAGACCTGGTTATAATGGCAGAAAATAAAATGTTCTCTCATGCTGGTCTGCTCCAGTTACAGAGCACTGACCCCTGCAGCCGGGAAAGCTGAGAACTTTTCATCATCGAGTACGTTGACGAAACTCGTTGGCTTTAACAAACTGTTCCCCAAACACCTGGCCTGTATGTTCTCCGCTAACCCTTGGCTTTAACAAACTGTTCCCCAAACACCTGGCCTGTATGTTCTCCGCTAACCAGTTCGTGTTATATCATATTCAGAAAGTGCTTATAGACTCTTGCTTGCGGAGAAAAATATCCGTCAGCTGTCAGAAAAGCTAACGTCCATCCTGGCTCTGGTGAAATAGTCCCTTGGGGGAAAGATACAAGCCAATTTGGTCAGACTTAATAGGTTTTAACAAAATCCAGGTGAAGGAGTCCATCTGGAAGAGCAGGAGAATCTTACGAGCAGCTCTGAGAAATAATTTCCAGAGAGGAAAAAAGACGGGAAACCAGCTGTACCACAGTAAAGAGGAGCTTGGAAATGGATTTCACAAATGGGGAACTTAACGGATAACCCTGATCTGAAACAGTGGTTTCCAAGTGTTTTGAGACTGTGCGACCTTCTGGCATTTTTCCCCATGCCTTGGAATCCTCAGGCTTTGTCCTACAGGTAATCAAGCTTAAACTGCACTAAATCTTATGATCCTTCGTTTTCCCCATGAGAGCACAGACAAAAACATCATAGAACCTACTTTAGAAATATCTAGTTTGTATTGTTCTGACTGTGAGACTTGAGGGACACCACTCTGAAAGTTTAAGAGAAACTGTTCCTTATTCCTGCAGAATTTGCTCTGGTTTATGTGCAGAGCTGCAGGGTCACACCTGTGGCCCGGGACAGTTCCACTTAGCATGTGTGAGTACTCAGTAACATATAGGCATGCTTTTTATAGAGCCCTTGTGTTCCCAAATTGGCTTTAGGTTTGAAACCCTAAGCTTCAGGATGAAAAAAGACCCAAGCACTGTGTCCCTGCTAATAATAGGGATCACCTTCCCAGGCCTGCAGGAGACGAGAGAGCTACGAATGGATGGCTCTGACTATAGAGAAATCCAAAAGGCAGAGGAAGACTGCAGCCTGAACAAGCAAATCTGCTGAGGCTCCTGCTTGCCCACCTGGCACGCTCCACCGCACCCCTCGGCACTCCCAAGAATCACCTACCGTCCCCTCAACTCATTCACACAAGGGACACTTATGTGATTCCACAAAGGCACACGGGAGCTGGCGTTCAGAGCTCACTGCATAAGATGAAGACACACATTAGCTCCTTAAAGGGAAATTTTAGAAGTTTACGGCTAAAATCTAACACAATTCTAAAATGATTCTTGAATAAGAATGCACTGTGGCTTTACAGAATCTGGGATTTTTCTATTAAAATCCTACCACCAAACAGCTGTGAAAATAAACCAGCCCTCCTTCATGGGCTTCCTCCAAGTGTGGGACCACCCCAATACCTGCTGTCTTAGGCAACTGTTTATTCTAGATACATTAGCTTAGCATCGAGGGGACAGATCCACAAGAATGAACTTCTTGTTCATACTCCTTTGACAACATGGAGATTAGGATTAAGAGGCAAGTGGGGAAGAAGGAATGTAATTGTCAACTTTCTAGGTAAGAAGAGTAGTGGTGGTTCAGTGGTAGAAGTCTTGCCTTCCATGCTGAAGACGCGGGTTTGATTCCCAGCCAATGTACCTCATGTGCAGCCACCACCTATCTCTCAGTGGAGGCCTGCCTATTGCTGGGATGCTGCTGCAGAGGGTTCAGCAGAGCTTCCAGACTAAGATGGACTAGGAAGAAAGGCCTGGTGATCTACTTCCAAAAATCAGCCAATGAAAACCCTCTGGATCACAACGGTCCAATCTGAAACCAATCCTAGGGATGGCGCTGGACCAGGAATTGTTTCATTCCATTATGCATGTGGTCGCCACGAGCCGGGGGCCAACTCGACAGCAACTAACAAAAACAACAGCCAAAGCCTAGTGATTTAGGTATAGAAACAGCTAAGGGAGAATTTCAGTAGATTTTTCATGTGGAATGTGTATAAAATCTCTTATTCACAGGTTCCATCACTCCCATGCAGAAATAATGAATCCCAAGTGAAGTTCGACACATCTTTTTATGTACAAACGGTTACCAATACAGATGGAGTTATTTTCTTTTCATAAATATCTTGCAGCAAATCCTCTAAAAGAGATGTGAATAAAAACTACCTCTCAGCATAATCAGCCTGTCCTTCCCCAAAAGTGTTAACTTCCCGAGATCCTATTCTTAGCCAAACACTTGTGGGGCCTCCTGGGGAGAACAGGAACAATTTGGGACCTAGGCGAGAGCCCTCCCATCTCCCCAGAGAGTGGAGGTGACTCGAAGGTCATCTGTTGCCCAGGACCTGGGAGTGATTAAACTGTTTCTTCCCAAGACTTGGGCCTTCTTTGTCAAGCTGCTGATTAAGCAGCCTCTCTGTTTCCTGGCAGCAGCCCAGAGGGAGGGAGGAAAGAAACCTACAATAGTGTGAGGAAGTAAAAAACTCTGGGTATTTTGATAAAAAACACTCGGTAATCAATGTGACCCGGCAAAGCCAATGTATCAAATTCACCAGAGGGAAAATGGGTAATTCAGCATTCCAGAATCTACAACGACAAGCCTTGCTTAAGGAGATAATTACTTAGCACCAATTTCTCTCTCTTGGGTAATTTTTCCTCTCTTTCGAGCCCGTGGCTGTGATCACCACTGTCGAAGCACAGCTCGGCAGTACTTTTAAATCAGTCACGCAGCTGGGCGTGAAGGGAGCGCAGTAACACACAACAAATAGCGCGTCGAAACCGAAACGCAACTCTCCTGGAGGCTCATCCTGACGCGGGGTAAAAACGAGCCACCCCATGGTCTCTTCCTGGGCTTTCTGCTCGGCTAGCCAGGCCTTTACTCAAAGCGGCGGAGGTGGTTGTACAGCGACTGCACGTAGGTGAAGACACACATGGGATCCGGCTTGCGGCCCATCACCATCATATCTTCCACCTCGATGAGGCGCTCACAGTTTGCCAGGTTCCTGAAACACAGAAGCCCCCATTAGAACGACAGTCCCAGCATCCAGGCGGGCCCAAGGGCCCAAAAGGGCAGTCATCACCATCCCAAGAACACAACCCAGCCTGGAGGCAGAGCTTCCCACCCAGTGCCAATCAACACAAACTTAGGCTTTCAAAGCTCTACCGACTTCCAATAAACCTGGTAGATCCAGAGTCCCTCAGTCTGATGCAGTGTTTCCCACACCCCCACATCCATGAACACCTCTACAATTCACATTTTAAAATGTATTTTAAAGACTTACTTTATTTACATTTAAGTAAAAATTAAATTTAAGCAGGAAAAAAAATTAAACCTATTCACGGAAAATCAGTTATCAACTATCAGAACAAAACTACTAAAGCAAAAAAATTCTTTCACATACTTCCTAAAACGGTGTTTTTTAAACCTTTTTTACCATGACCCACAGTAAGGAAGACATTTTTCATCACGATTCAACTCACACATACGTGTATGTGGAAATACAATGTCACAAAAATACTTACCCTTAGTCTAACGTTATTTTCTCTGTAATATTTCATTTTTGTGTCTCCCTTCCTATTTTTTTTTTTTTTTAATGCTGGCCATGAACCACTAAATTGATTTTACGATCTACTTATGGATCATAACTTGCATTTTGAAAAATTGCCTAAAACCATGCTGGGAATCTCCAGGGCACCACGTGTGCCCCGCGCTCTGGGGAACGCTGATTTCACTCTCAGCCCGGTGGTGTGGACGCACGTGCAAACCAGAGAGAAAGCTACTCCTTCCGGCCTTCCCAGCTCAAGGTCATCAGGCTTCAAGGCCTCACAGAGGCAGGAAGGTGAGCGTTACCAGGTGAGACACAGGGTACCACACGTCAGCACTGAGTCTTGACGTAACAGCAGACTTTTTCTGGAATTCCAAGTAAGGCACCCCTATATCCTCTGGCTGTTTGCTCACAGTATGCCTGGCACCCCTGGGTGCCAGATGTAGCTGGCCTGCCATGATCAGGCACACCGAAAGGGCAAAAAAATGTCTGCACTTAATTCTGATGGTCTCAAAGTCCTTTCTTCAACAGCGATGTGTACTTTTGTAGTTCCAGGGGTCCTCAGTCTTTTCTTTTCCCCCCATATCAATAAGTGCATGACTTTAGGGTTCAAATCCCACCTCCATCCCTTCTTAGCTGTATGACTTTGAGCAAGACATGTAACCTCTCTGGACCTCAGTTTCCTCTGCTGGAAAATGGGCACTATCTATCTCCCAGGGCGGTGTGAGGATTAAACGAGCTAATGCATGCAGATCAGCAGCCGCGGTGCCTGGTATACAGGAAGAGCTCAATAAATGGTAGAAATCCCTAATGTTGCTGTTCTGGTTATCGTGCCTCACTTTAAGAAGCAGAGGGGTCACTGCAGAGCAGGGCAAAGGGAGGAAACAAATTTAAATCTAAACGTTGTTGCTAGCTGCTGTTGTGTCGGCGCTGACTCATAGTGACTCGATGCACAAGGGGATGAAACGCTGCCCGGTCCTGAGCCAGCCCATGATCAGTTGGGGACCACTGTGCTCCACAGGGTTTACATTCGCTGATATTCAGAAGTAGATCACCAGGCCTTTCTTCCTAGTCTGTCTTAGTCTGGAAGCTCCACTGACAACTGTTCAGCATCACAGCAACATTTGCACCTCCACTGACAGTCGGGCGGTGGGTGCATATGGGGTACACTGGCTGGGAATCAAACCCAGGTCTCCCACACGGAAGGCAAGAATTCTACCACTAAACCACCAATGCCCCCACTCTATCTAAACATCTGGGTTTCAATCCCTGCTCTGTCAGTATCTTTCTGCGCCCATTTCCTCATCAGAAAAATCAGAACACCCCCACTGCTCTCCCTCCCATCGGGCTGCCCCAGAGAGCCCAGCCAGAGGGGAGGACTCAGCCAGCAGTCAAGGGGCTCCCCTGACCCACCCCAGAGGTGGTGAGCCTGTTCAGCACAGATTCCACACCATTTTCTACCAGGACACAGCACAGGGGCCGCCCAAGTCCCAGCTGGCTCCCTGGCCAGCATGCTCCAGAGACAAAGCCCGTAATGTTAGCATGGGGCCCTGCTCGGCAGTGCTGGCTGGACGCCAGACCTCCTATCAGAAACCAAATGTCAGAGCGAAATGGAGACATCTGTCACAGATCCTATCACCGCCTCCCCTTGGGGGTTGGAGTGGGCAGCCTGTAATGGAATCCAAAGGCCCCGTGGGGTGAGGAGTGGGTATGGCCCAATTAGCGGGCACCCTCTCTCCCCAGGACAGGCAGTGCAGGGTTCGGGTCACTCTGACAAGGGCAGATGTGCAAAGGAGCTTTGTCAACAGTGAAGGGTTGAACGTCTGAGTTCTTGCAAGAGGCCGGGGACCTGAGCTCACCTTCCTGAGATATCACTGCCTCTGGGGCCTGCTCCTGACCCGTGGCACAGGGAGAATACCTTCCCACCTGTCCTCCCTCACTGGGCTGCTGTCTGGAGGATCCCAAGGTGTATGAGGAGGCTGTGTCCGTGTTAACAAGCCATGCCCAGGTTATTGCCGCTGTCCACAATGGCCTCAGAGTTCCCCAACGTGAAATAAGAATACATTTGAACCCTAGAACCTCAGCCCAGGAAGAGAACTTAAATGCTACCCAGTCCAAACAGCACCTCCATCAGAGGCACCATCACCACCAACTATGATGGAGGTAACCCCAACTCATGGCGACCCCATGTGCATCAGAGTAGAACTGTGCTCCACAGCATTTGCAATGGCTGATTTTTTCAGAAGTAGATCACCAGGCCTTTCTTCTGAGGCACCTCCGGGTAGACTTGAACTGCCAACCTTTTGGTTACCAGCTGAGCACGTTAACTGTTTGCACTACCCAGAAACTCCATCAGAAGCATCAGTCACCTCTATAAAGTCCCTGTCTCGGCTTGCCCCTCTCCAGGGATGGGGACCTAATTTCTTCTAAGTCAAACGAACAAATAAACAAACCCATTGCCATTGAGTCAACTCCAACTCACGGTGACCTTACAGGACACAGTAGAACTGCCCCGCAGGGTTTCCAAGGAACAGCTGATGGATTTGAACTGCTGACCTTTTGGTTAGTAGCCAAGCTCTTAACCACTGTGCCATCAGGGACCCAGTTAATTTCTTCTAAGGACAGTCCAAATCCCTCTGCAGATGGCTCTGGCCATGAGAAAGCTTTCCTTTTGTTTCTTATACTATTTTGCTCTTTGTACTTTCTACCTATTGGTCCCCCGGGGCTATCCTCAGGCTAATTTTTCCCCCACAAAACAGCCCTTTCAGTGTCTGAAGAGAACTCGAATAGCCAAGTCTTTCCCTGAAGTTAAATCTCTCTGGCTCCTTAACTGTTTCTTCAGAGACTACCTGGGACCCTCCCTCGGAGCTGGCTCTGGTTTCTCCCGAGCCCTCTTCACGGGGGCACCCAAAATTGCTGGTGTTTTCCAGGTGTGGTCCAGCCTATGCAGAGGACAGCGAGCTGACCCCCTTCTTCATTCTCGAGGCTGCATTTATGCTCCAAGTAATGACCCCTGGCCCTGCCCAGGCCGCAAGGCTTTGTGATCAGGGTGGTAGTCAGGATAAGAGCTAAGGCCCTGCCTGGTGTCACCCTCTTCTACCCAGACAGGAAGCCTGGGGCAAGGCACTGCCTTCCCCAGCAAGCAACCAGGGGACTGGGCCACCACCCACCCCAGCTGCAGCTTCTATGGCTTAGCACCCCACCCCCATTATTTCTACCTTAAGCAGTCAGGAGTGTGGAGGTTCCTGAGGAGGGGGACACAGCGTGCAGCCTCCCATCATCCTCTAGCTCCTCCTCTTCTCCCCCAATGCCCCCTCTGTCCCTCATCCCCTCTCCCATTACTGTTGTCAGCTGTCACCGAGTCGGCCCCCGACTCATGGTGACCCCAGGCACAATGAAATGAAATGTTTCCTAGGCCTGTACCATCCCCACGATGATTGGCTGCAGATAGGACTGTTGGGACCCATAGGTTTTCAGGCACATTCTCCCTCCAACATAGAGAGCAGCTTCCCTCTCTCTGAGGCCATAGCACTGTCCCCACCCAGACCCTCAGGGACCCTGGCCTTCCACCCCAGACAATCACAGTAGCTTCTTCCTGCAAAGAAAGAACACTGCCTCAGAGATACTCTGGGGCCAGTGATGACAATCAGGACAAGGTTCCTAGAAGCTGCAGATACAGGCTGCACTAAACTCAGGAGGGCTGAATCGGGCAAGAGGAAAATGCATATTAGCATTCGCTTTTATAACAATATTTAAGTCTCCAAATATTAGAGGCCCCAAACGCCATTTTTTTCAACTGCTTTTGTAAAAATGATACAAACTTATTTCAAATAATTCAAACCACACAGAAAAGTCCCAGGAAGAAAGTACACATCACTTCAAATCCCCTGGCACAGCGAAAAGCAGGGTTAACATTTGCCAACTACCATTTTTAAATGAATCTACTTAAAAGGGTTTTCTCCTCCTTCTGCATATTGTGATCTTCAGCTACCACAGGGTTGGCCTGTAAGGGAGGAGGTGTTTGGAGGAGGGGGTTATTTTTATTTTTTTTTAAGCCTTCTCTAAATGCAGATCAGGATGCCAGGGCTCGGAGTACAGCCTCTGTCTGGTTTTAGACGGAGACACGTGGGTACTACAAATAGCCTGGAAGCCCGCGGCTGCGCTGTAACCCGAGAGCAGGGCACATTCCCCACAGGGCAAGCGGGAGCCTCAGGCCCCACGTCCACTGGCTTGCCTGGGCCCTGGGCAACATGTGGGGAGGAGGTGCAGGGGTCAAGCATCCCTTCCAGCTCCTTCCATCAAAGGGGCGGGCCCTCCCGCCTTCCAGGAGGGGAACACCTGTCGGCAAGAGGGGAGCTGGGTTTGCTGTCAACACTGCATCACTCACACAGATTATGCCGAAGGGACTCTTTGGGGACATAAAGCACTGGGGGAAGGGGGAATATAAACCACTTTACCCCCACAGGTTTCTGGCACATCTTTCTGCTTTTACAGCACGGCTGCATGGAAGGGTCTTGAAGGTTTCCTTCTGGACGCAAAGTGGACCCATGGTTTGGGGGACCAGCCTGCTCTTTTTCCTTCCAAAGGTTGTGCCTTCATCAGACCCCAGGGTCCTCTCATCCCACAACCTCAAACTGCCTTTCTTAGCTCTGCTCAGCTGCCTGTGTGGCTCCTGGTAGCTTCCGACAGCACCACATGTCTGCTTTGCTTTTGCTGGCAATATTAAGAAATAATCTGTCTAAGATGTGAATAACCAGTGTTTTCAAGCAGGTGTCTCTGTGCTTTCTTCTTTCTAGCTTTTCTAACCATCCTCTTGTCCAAGAAACTAGTGATCCAAGCTACTACCTCCCAGGAGGACCCGGGCAGGCAAGGCCATCCCCTCAGCCCTCTCCCCCACCAACCTTCAAGACAATCTCATGTACCCATGAGGGGAGGTACCTTCCCAGACTCTAAGCAAGCCCCGCCCCCCACAGGCCTGCTGTGCCCCTCTTCCCTGCCCCTTGAGTCAGCAGAAAAGCAAGAACACATCTCAGCAGCCACATCTAACCACCCTCCCCTCCTCAGCCGGGAGCAGGCTCAGGCCACAGGGAGGCAGGGCCAAGTTTCTTACCCCCGCTGTTTTCTCTGAGGAGGAAGAAGGCAAAACCTGGACCAGCCCCCACCACCCCCACCAGGTTGGAAATAGAAGAAACATCTGTTTGGAGTCCGGAGGCTCCGTGAACTCAAATCTTGTGCTGGGAAAACGCGGCCTTAAATTGCTCCAGCTCTGGCTGCCAAGGGAAGCTGTGTTCCCTGCGAGCTGAGGAGCAGGGCCACTGCCCTGCGGCCCAGGGCCTCACTGCCCCTGCCATGGCCCAGGACCCAGGGTTAAGGGTGACCAGGAGGCCAGGGTGTGAGCTGGCACCACTTGGCCCATTGGGCCTACACAGTAAAGAACTCTGTGTACAAGGTATGGCCTCCCCTGGCTTGAGGGGTGCTGGGGTGCCCATGTCAGAGCCCTGGCCCCGTGTACTCGAGGTCTGATTCTGACCGTCACCGTGCCTGTCTTCCAGCAGCTGGGCCTCCTCCTCGTGACCACCCCCACCCCAACATCGCTCCGTTCCCCTTGGCTCCACTTCTCCTCGGTCGGGATCCAGTTGCATAACACACTCCGCTCAAAGCTGTTTCTGCAATTAGGATGAAAGCTAGTCCCAGGCAGCCAAGAAAGAGAAGGCATTTAAAGTATACAAGGAGTTCTTATGACCCCAAGAGGGCTGAGAAGCCGAGCGCGCCATTCGAGACAACACAACAGGGGCAATGCTGAGATTCCAAAAAATCAGGTGAGGAGCTCCAAGCCAATGTCTGGATTCTGCCTCCAGAGCTGGAGTTGCTGCTCCGGAGAGGGGCAGCCTCCTCTGATCAGGGCCAGACTTGCGTTATGAAGTGTGGGTCTCATAACCCGCTGGCTCTGCCTCCTTCCCTGGCCAGGCTCAGGGCCTGGCGTGGGGGGCAGGGGCTGGGGTAGAAGTGGTCAGGCCGGGAACGAAGTGGGGAGTGCAGGAGAGCCCAGAGAGGACACTCGGTGCTCAGGGAGACCCTGTCCTACTGCTCCTCCCACCCTATCTGTGGCTAGTCTCCCAGTCAGCTCACCAGAGGCCGAGCAACCAGCAAAGAAGACAGGCAAACCAGGAACAGAGCCCAGCTCCACCACGGAGTGCTATGTGACCTGAGCAAACCCTACCCCCTCTCTAGGCCTCAGTCTCCCCATCTGTACACGGTACACAGACTGCATGGCCTCAGGCCTCTCAGCTCTGTGATCAGCTGCCCCCTGCCCTCCTTTCATGGGCTCCCGCACCAGGGCAGCAGTCTGGCTCAGGGGCTGGGCTGGGAGCACTGGCTCTCAGGACCCGCCATACTCACTCAGCCATGCTGAAGGCCAACTCGAAGTTCTTCTGCCGCTGCGTGGGACTCAGCGTGTTGTAGTCGAAGGCGTCAGGGAAGAAGGAGTGCACCAGGGCGCAAAAGGCCATCCCATCACTCCAGCTGGAGGAGAAATTCTGCAGGTCCACGTGCTGCAGGCAAGGCGGCATCAGTGGTGGGGGTGCCGGGTGGGCCCCTGAGAGCAGCTCCTGCCCCAGCTCCACCCACCCAACGGGCCTCCACCAGCGGATCCTCCCAGCCCCTCCAGAGGCCCACCACCCACCCACCTCAGCAGAAAACCATCACCTACCAGGTGCACTAGTCTGCCCAGGCCCGGATAAGGGATCCCTGGGATTTCTATGCCACAACAGCCCAGTACCGACCTGAAGGCTCATACTGTCTAGCTCCCACCCCTTCCCCCTGCCTCTGGGGATCCTGCCAATACCTGGCCAGGGGGCCCAGTAGCAGGTGCAGGACCCAGGCTCACCTGGTAACCGCGAGTCTTGTTGCGACACCATTCGAGCAGGATCTGCTTGATGCTGCTGGCGCTGGCCACACCAAAGCTCTGAGAGCGCTTCAGCTTCGCCCGCGTCTCGCCCTTTCCCCTGTGGACAGACGCAGGCCTGCTGGGGCGGCCGCTCTGGCTCCATCGCCTCGAGAGGCTGGGAGTGCCAGCCTGGCCAGGGGGTTCCCGCACCACCAGGAGGATCCCCCTGCTCTGTTCACCCGGGGGAGACACCATTGGTTTGCAGCTCCCCTGCCTGCACGGCCCCCACTGTACCAGCGACACAGCTGCCTTTGATGGTATCTGGCAGGACCCTCCAGCCCCTGCTAGCCTTCTAGGTCCCATGTTTAGGTCCCACACTGGGAATCAGGGGCCACCTGGAAACCCTGGGACAGACAGCCTGAGCCTGCATGGCCCTAAGCCACTGCTTAAATTGTCCTCTCTGCTGGGATACCTTTTCTTCATTCCCCCCTTCCATCCATTCCCTTCATCCCACCCTCCCATCCCTTCCCTTCATCCCACCCTCCCATCCCCATCCCTTCATCCCACCCTTCCATCCCTTCCCTTCATCCCACCCTTCCATCCCCTTCCCTTCATCCCACCCTTCCATTCCTTCCCTTCATCCCACCCTTGTCCTCCTTCCCTTCACCCTACCCTCCTCCAGAGCCTCATTCATAAGGCCTCCATCCCCAGTAGCTCTTTGCTAGCCACAATGGGCAATTTCCTCCCCTAGACCTCAAGAACACTCCCTAATGGCCAAGATAAGGTCATCTGGGGTCAGTGCAGACATTCCTGGGTCTGCCTCCCTCACTAGAGTAAGTGCCTCAGGAGCAGGAACTGGCCGGTCGACTGCATCATCACACCAGGCTGGGCCTCAACCCTGTGCACAACAGATGTCAATGCCCCACACGGACAGGACTGCACACATGTGCAAAGGCAGGCTGTAGTCCAAGGCCCCCCATCTCTAGTGGCAGGGCTTGAGGTCTGGGGTGGGCCAGAGCACACTAGAGTCTGGGCCACTAGAGGAGTCACCTCTGCAGACTATGGGCAAGTCCCAGCTCTAGCCAGGAGTACCAACTGGCTGCCCTCTGATCTCCCAAGTCAGGCCCAGAACTAAAGGAGCTACAGTCCATGAGGAACGACTGTGGGTGTGAGGGCGGCCTGGGGCATCAGGGACACAGGAGTCTGGGGGGCCTCTTGGAATGGGGGGAGAAGACAGGGCTCTCACCAGGCACTGCGTGCTCCCTGCCCCATAGCTCTTTTCTCCCACCACTGGGGCCACATGAACTTCAGCCCACCCTGTGGCCCAGCCCTGACTTTGTGTCTTGCCAGAGAGGCCCAGTCACGGGAAATGGGCCCTGAGGAACAGGACAGGGCCCAGACTTGCTATGCTGAGTCTGCCTGACTCCAGGCTGGATCTGGGCCTGGGTCTGAGCCTACTCAGGGGAGGGGGGGTGCTGGGCTACTCTGGGGGTTCTGGGCCAGGGCTGGGGGTAAGCATCCATACTTCCCCGCTGTATCCTGTTCCCACTTCTCAAACAACGCCTTCCGGGCCTGTGCCCCTGAGGTGCGAGGCAGCGTCTGCGACCTCACCAGCTCCCTGCGACGCTCCCCTTGGTGATGGGCCTGAGTCGTGGCTGGTGGTTGCGGGGACCTGGGTGACTGGGGTGGTGTCACCAGAGGGGGGCTGAGGAAAGAACCACTTAGTCAGGAACAAAGACCCAGCCTTTGCCAGCTCACACAGGCCCAAGGGCCTGCCACGCCAAACGCCGAGCCACACTGCCTGAGCCACCCCACTAAACAGAGAGTGCTTGAAATCAGGGGGACGGGCTGCATCCACGACCGGGGGTGGGGGTGCATCGCAATGACCTTCAGAAAGGAAACAGCACTTGGTCCAGTCTCCAACCAGCCCGGCAGGTTTTCCGAACTGAGCAGGCTGTCCCAAAGAACAGGTCTCTCTCAAGGCCGGGGGAGTGGGCACCTCTCTGGGCACAATCACCCCTTGGTAGGTGCCGATGGCTGGGGTGGGCAAGGGGTACCCCCCACCCAGGCAGAGGTATACCCAGAGCCAGCCCCACCAGGACTAAGCCTCCCTCCTCCGCCACCACTAGATAAGAACTCCTTTGTTCTCGCCCGGGCAAAAGTTTGCCAGAAGGTCACAATTCCTCTTTCATTAAAAGAAAAAAAAGCCAAGCCATCCCACCACCAGCAACACAGCCCAGCTGGCCCAGGCGAGCAGGCGGACACCACAGGCCAGCAAGGAGGCCTGTGTCACAAGGAAACCCCTGCTGACCTGCTCCAACCCCGCAGCTTTTCCAGGTACCTCCTTAGTCCCCGGGCAGGAAGGAACCCAGCCTCCGAGGGCCCCCAGCCGACTGAGATGCAGCAAGGGCAAAGTGGGAACCCTCCTATCCTTCTTCCTCCAATCTTTTGACAGGCTTGCTTTGAAGGGTCCATAAAGAAGCCAGCCTGGAGCCTTATTTCTCCAAGCAAAACTACAACAGTGCCTGCTGCCTCATTTCCCCACTCAAACCCGACCCACAACCCTACTGCCTGAGTTCCCACAGCCCAGCCCCAGGCCCTCCATGGAGGCCCCAATCCAAGGAGGGTGCCCACTCCTGGGGTCAGCACAGGGAGCGCCCCGTAGGGTCCAAGGCCAAGCAGAGAAGCCACCTGAGGAGCGACGACCCCAAGGAGCCATAGGTCAGAGGTCAGGGGTCCAGACTCACCTGTTGTTGCCCCTGCCCGCCGTCGCTGCCCCATAGCCTGAACTCGACCACGTGAAAGTGGAGTTCTTCTCTGCAGGACACCAGGAAGGAGAGAAAGAGCAATCCTTGGCCTCAGGGAAGGCCAGCCCAGCCTCTTGTCTCTGACCTGGCCTACCCCTCCACCCAGCATCAGTCCCACTGATGGGCAGGCACCCTAGGCTAAGCTGGAAGCCCAACAGCCCCACCCCAGGATGTGGCCCTGAGGCCAGAACACAGGCCTAAGGGATCCTAGGGGAGGGGGCTGTACCACGATGTGCAGGGCAAGAGGCTACCTTCTAACCCAGCTTGGACCTGTCACAAAAGCCGCTGCCATCTCCCCTGTGGGATGAAGTTATTTCACAGTGCCTCTGGGAGAGGAGTTGGGAAGGGTGGGCCCCATTTGATAGGGCAAGCAGGCTAAGGTCACAGGGACAGTCACAGCTGGGGCTGGGGTTTCCTGAGTCTCCGGCCCTCCTCCACCCAGCCCTGCTCTCCCCATCAGACCCCGAGATGGGTCTGTCCCCCGTCCACACTCTCCTTCATACCACTCGGGCTGGGGGTCCAGGGTTTGGTGGTCTCACTGGGGCTCGGGGTGAGGCCCCCCAGGACAGCAGCAGATGTGGGCGATAGAGCCGAGGTCTCCCCAGAGAACCTCTCGGAGACTCGGGTGACGGCAGTGACTGGCTGGTGGGGCAGCCGCAAGGAGAGGCTCACGGGGCGAGGCTTGGGGGGCTCTGATGCCGGGAAGGTTTGGGCAGTCTCAGGGGGCCCATCGCCTGGACCTGAAACATTGACCCGCGGTAGGTGCGGGGGGGAGGGGGGGTCAGCCATGGCATCCATCAGGGACTCAGAACCCCCCAGGGGGGTTTAGCCTCCCTGAGCCCTCCTCCACCTCCTCCAGGGAGGCCTCCCTGACTGCTGACATCTTCTCCAACTTCCCATGTAGCTGGGCTCAATAAATATCAGTTGGCTTGTCAGCCTGCTGTCTACCCTATTCAGTGCTTGGGCAATTCCCCAGCCTCTGCTTGCATTCCTCCATAAATGAGGAAGCTCACCCCCTTCCAAGATTTCCCATTTCCCAGTGTCTACAAAGTTCTACTTCACCCTGAATGAGATTGTTCTGCTGGTGGCCTCTGTGCCCTTCAGGGTTAAGGCCAAGGGATGGCATGGCATAGATGCAGGGCCAAGCCCTGAGCCCAAACCTACCCAGCCACCCTCTTCTGCCCTCGGCCTCTACCTGCCCCTGGCTGGTGCCCATTCTCGACGATGCACGAGTTTGAGGTTCTTCTCATCTCCGACTCAATGGGCTCGTCATGATCCACACTCTACAGAGACACAGACACCACTGAGGCCCAGGTCAACCTCAAAACAACTCTCCAAAGCCCCTCCTGGTTCTGGCAGAGATGAAAAAACAGCCCCGAACAAGGCGAGGGGGTGGTGGTGGTGTAGTGCTGGGGTAAGGTCACACTGTAAGCTGGGGTAGACACAGCCTCAGCTGCTGAGCCCCCAGAATCCTGCCAGGCAAAGAGCCCTGCTTGGCTTGATGCAGAGTCCAGAAAGGTCAGAAACAAAGGTCAAGCCTGAGGGTTCCCAAAGAGTGCACCAGGCTGCCCTACCTCTTCCCCTTGGCTGAACCCGACAACCGAGGCCAGGGGTAGGGGGAGCCTGGCCCCCTGTCCATCCCAATGGGGCCCGGCCGACATGGCTGCCTGCGTGGGAGCAGCAGGTACTCATTGACACAAAGTCCTCCTGGGCCCACGATGAGCAATGGTGCCTCCTCACACCACTGGATAAAGGGGGACAAGATTTACCTGATGTCCAGAGTGCAGGGGCCTGACGGGCTCCTGCAGCCTTCATCCCCGCATGGGCTCCATGTAGCCCCCATCCCCCAATGGGGTCCTGCAGCCCCCATCCCCCCATGGGCTCCATGTAGCCCCCATCCCCCCACGGGCTCCTGCAGCCCCCATCCCTTCATGGGCTCCAGCAACCCCCATCCCCCTATAGGCTCCAGCAGCCCCCATCCCTTGACAGGTTCCATGCAGGCCCCCTAATGGGCTCCATGCAGCCCTGCATCCTAGGCCCACAAGGCCACTGTGGCAGTAGGTGGGGTGGGCAGGGAAGAGAGTGAGGGCAAGACCAAGGGCCAGTGGGGTAGCCTGGGGTACCAGAAGGTATCCTGGCAATGCCACCAACCCACCGTGTGACCAGGGCAGGACGTGCCCCTCTGGGTCTCAGTTGGCCTGTTGGAGGAATGGGAACAGGCCATGCAAGTGCCACTTGGGTATCTACCAAGTGCCAGGCCCTTTTCCTGCACATGCCACACAGACGAGGCATGCCACGTCTGTCCTCCAAGTAGGTGCTACCAGCCCCGTTTTACAGACAGCAGCCGAGGACTCAGACAGGAGAGGTGTGCTGCCCAAGGTTACATCCTACAGTGAGAAACAGCCAGGTTTGCAGCCAGGGTGGATGTCCTCTACCTTGGTCCTGCTCTCCTCACAGTGAGACGGGTGTGGGGGCTCAGAGTATCTGAGGCTGTGGGGTCCACCCGGCAAGGAGGCACAAAGGTAGACCCCTACCCCAGGTTGTGGCTGAGAGCCCCTGGTGAGTGGCTTGAGAGGCTGGCTGTACCTCTCCCTAGACACCTCCAGGTTGGCCCCCTCGTCCACAAGGTTCCTAGACAGACCTCAGCCCATCCTGAGCCCCAGATGCTCAGCTCCTGGTGCAACCAGCACAAGAGGACCCACCCTGCCATGGAGGGAGTCAGTCTGGTGGGGGGGGGGGGGCCAGATGGGCACGAAGCCAGCATGAGGGTGCCCCAGACAGACTGCAGCTAGCCCAGGCAGATCAGGAGTGCCTGAGTCAAGTTGGGGTCAGCCAGTTGGACAAGGAGGTGAGGCCATTCCCAACAGAGCGACCAGCAGCTGAAAAAGCAGAGGCATCAGGGCACAAGGCCTTCTGATCACACACAACTGGGACACTGGTGGCAGGCAGCCCATGGCCAGAGACACATCATCCAGCAGCCCAAAGTGCCGGCCCCAAGAGCTTGGACTTGACTCCTTGGACAAGAAGGAGCTGAACGTCATTAGCTCTGTGTTTTAGAAATATCCTTCAGAAGTCAGCAAGGGAGTGGTGTAGAAGAAGGAGACCAAATGGCAAATCACCTCACCAATACTGGGACCTAGGAGAAAAGATGGGGCAGTGGAAAGGCCAAGGGCAAGAAGGACTTAAGACAGCTAGAAGAGAAATGAATCCAGCAGTGACAGCGAGTGGATGTGGAGGGAAGGGAGGATGGCCAGCTAAGCCCTGAGTAATCTAGGGGTGGAGGGCAGAAGCAGGTTTTGTGGGGAAAACAAGGATTTCTGTGTTGGACATGATGAGTGTCAGGTCCCCCGGGTGATCTCAGAGCCGAGGTCCGGAGGTAATAAATATTTCAGTCTGAAGTTTAAGAGGAAAGAAGGGGCAAATGACAGACACAGGAGTCATGGTGTCCAACTGGCTCCTGAAGCCCAGGAGGTGAAGCACTGGCTTGGGACTAAGTGGGGGCTTGGGATGAGGCACTGAGGAGATCCCACATTTAAGGAACAGGGAGCAGAGGGGGTACTTTCAGGGGAGAATGAGAAGGGGCAGCCCGAGAGGCAGGGAGAAAACCAGAGGAATGTAGAGAACATCAGGGAAGAAAGTGTATCAAGATGGCAAGTGTGTTAGCAGCATCCAGAGTGACCGGGGTCAAGGCAAAGAAAGTCAAGATCTAAAAAGCGCCCACTGGGTTTAGCAGAGGTCACTAGTGATGGCTGTAGGACTAAGTCGAAGGTGGGGTGGGGGTAGGAGATGGGCTGGTGGAGAAGATGGGGAGAAAGGAGGTGACACTGGACCTAGATAAGAATGAGTCACCTTAGCCCTGAGGAGACAGGAGGTGGGAGGAAAGGGGTTTGAGGGGTTTTTCCAGATGGGGGATGGGAGAACACATTTACAGGCTGAAAGGAAGGCTCTAGCAGGGTAGAGGGACCAACAATGGGGCAGGGTCCCTCGGGAGGCAAGAGAGAATGGGACCGAGAGCCTGGGGAGAGCCCGGCCTTGGTGAGGAGGCAGGCCGACCCCTCAACTTCTAACTCAGGAGGATGGAGGGGAAGGGGCCAGGCCTACTCACAGGAATGCTCAAAACGGGTGTAGGGCACCCGCCTATACCCCAGAAAGGGGAGGACACCCCTTGAGCCACACTGTGGCCAACTTGGAGCCACACGGGGAGGAGAACCAACCAGACCATCCCAGGCCCTAGCCCCCTCCTGTCACCAGGGTTGTCTCTGCCCTGGGGTCTCCCATGTACCCCCACCCATCCCACTCTGGTCTGACAGGTTCCACAGGTCCAGACGGGCCTGGAGGGACAGGCTGATGGCAAAACCATGTTCTTAGGAATGTGGGTCTATGGGGGCCCCCACAGACACCTATCTCTGCAATTTGCAAGCCCCCAGCCCCCATGAAGCCCCAGGGGACCAGATGCCACAACCAGACCGGAAATAGGTTCTGGACCAGCTGGATTCCTGCCAAGGGGTCTCCAGCAAAGGGAGGGTGGGAAGGGGCTGGGGATAACTCCGGCTGGGAGGCCAAACTGTGCCTGGGGTATGGGGTCTGACTCCCAGGTGCCCCCTGCCCCTCCTTCCACCCACCCCCGAGACTAAGACCACTCCTCAACCAGGGAAAGGGCTCTGCCCACACCTAGGCCCATGGCCAGCAAAGACGCAAAGGCTACAGACAGCACCCTCCAACCCATCATTACACAGCTGGGGGGTGCCCCTAGGGTCAGACCATGGCTAAGGGCAAAGTCAGAGTCAAAGTTTGGGGTCAGGGTCTCCTACCCCAACCCAGGGCTCTGTCCACCAAGCTCTCTGGTCTTTCAGAGGGCAGAGAGGACAGCTGAAGACACGCCTGTCTCCCAGGACCTGGGTCAGGTAGGCCCTGGCCTCCACTGGACCTGTCTTAACCACATGAGGGGGAGGAAAAGGGGTGACTTCCCCAGCTAGACTTTCCAGAACGCAGAGCCCTTAAATCAAGGAACCAGGTTGGGCTAAGCTGGAGCAAGCACTCCTCCCAGTCCCCAGGTCCACCCGTGGGGGGCTCTGGTATATTCTCCCTATGGCCCAGAGACTTCCACTGGTGTAGGGCAGCCTGCCTCAGCCCCAGGGAAGGGAGCAGGGAGGTGCCTCTGTGTGCTGGGCTTGGAGAGAAATCACTAGAGAGCCCCAGGGATGGGACAGGTCCTGTCTTGAGCTGGCTCTAGTACCTCGAAGATTCCATCTGGCTTTAAGAAGGGGGAAGGTCCTCCACAAGGGAGCCCAGGCCTGGGAACATGGGGGAGGGGAGCAGGGAAGGAGGCGGGGGATGAGATAAGTCTGATTTCAGGGACTCCAGGAGACGGAACCCTCTTGCAGGGAAGTTTTCAAACATTTTTGATGAGGGGAAAGAACAGCACTTCAGCTCTCCCTAGTGCTGCCTGACCCCATGCAGGCTTATCCATGGACACGGGAGCCCGCGCAGTGCCCGGCACAGCCCACGCGGGCCAGCACCGCAGTCTACGACATTGAACACAGCGGTCCAGCCTCCTCCGCTCACACCACAGTTTTAAAGGACTCAATTCAAACTTCTCCCCAAAGCATTTAACTCTGTTATCGCACAGTGTGTCTGGGAAAGGAAGGCAGATAAGGCGAGTCTGGTTTCTTTCACCGTCGGGCCTCCGACTCAGGTCCTGGCAGTTGTTCCTGAGGGACCCGGTGGCTCCAGCTCAGCCGAGGACAACACATCCAGGGAATGGCCTCCTGGGCTCCGGCCTGGCCTCAGGCTGCCCCATGCACCTCAGGCAGCCAGCTGGTTCCCTGCTCCTGCTGGACCACGGCTGTGGCTGCAGGGACGCTCCAAATGAATGGACATCTACTAAAGTTATAATTACCCAGCCCACAAGGCGCGAGGGGCCAACAAGTCCAGACCATTTCCCTCCATTTTTTATTGTCAGTTGCCATTGAGTCGATTCCAGCTCACAGAGGCCCCATGTGTGTCAGAGTAGAGCTACACTCCATAGGGTTTTTAAGGCTGTGAATTTTCAGAAGTAGTTTGTCAGGCCTTCCTTCAAGGCACCTGTGGGTGGACTCCAACCTCCAACCTTTCAGTTAATAGTCAAGTGCTCAACCATTTGTGCCACCCAGGGACTCCCGTCTCCCTTTAGATACAGGCAAACTGAAGTCCAGCAGGGGGGAGATGCACCCAAGGCCTCACAGCACATGCATCCAAAGCTAGCTCTTGTCTGCTCCAAGGTCTCTGGCCTCCTACAGGGAGTCCTTCTTGTTGACGCCCACTGCACGCCCTGCCTGCCTGCCCCAGAGCTTCCCTGACCATCCTCTGTCTCTCCATGACCCAGCATGGCATGACTGAAGTGTGTACACTTGACCAGCCTTTGCTACACTGAGTTCAGGGCACATCTGCATGCTGAATACAACCCACCCCAAGCCCTGCAGTCCTTACTTGGAAACCTCAGGAAGCCAATGGGTCGAAACAACTCTGGCTCTCACGGCCTGTAACAGAAGGGCAGTGTGATTCCAGCCTCCACAATGCCTGACCACAAACCATGTGGCACGGCCACCACTGGCCCGTGTGCACGGGGTGAGACTGTCACACACAGACCCTGCTATGGCACAGGCACTGGAGCATGTGAGGCTGGGAAACAGCAGCCCCAGCGGCCTGCTGTGACTCTCGGTCCATTGCCCACACTCCCGTCTTGTCCCAGAGCCCTAATTCCTCATTCGTGACCAAACACCCGATCACATGCTGCCAGTCACAGTGCATGAGCCGAAAAGTGAGGGTGGCTCCAGGAAGCCCCCTGCATTGCTAGAAAATGGCTCGGAGCCTATCAGTACTCCTGAGAGGGTGGGCTGCAGAGGAAGTGGGGACCAAAGCTTCCAGGGTCAGGCAGGGGGACACTGTCTGGGGCCCAGGGAGCTGGCACTCGGTGCAGGGGTGGGGGTGGGGGTGGGAGGGCAGCAGAGCCTTGGATCCAGCTGGAGACCTTGACCAGCTCAACCCACAATCCTCACCTATACTTGCTGCTTCACCTCTTCTCAGCCCTGAGAGGCCTTTCTGGAATCCACAACCAACTCCCCAACAGGGTCTTCATTCTCATCCCCCACCGACTTCAACATCCCTTCTTCCAAAGGGGCTCCTCCTCTGGCAGCTCCATGGCCTGGTTTTAGTTTCCTTCAGACTCCTCGGCCCCTACCCCAGCTCCTGCTCATCCTCTCCTTCCGCACAACTGCCCTGGAAGACCTCACCCACTCCACGCCTTCCACAGCCGTCCCTGCCCTCAGATCTCCCTAACCTCCAGCCTGAACCTCTCTCTGGCACGCCAGAGCCAGGAATCTATCTGCTCTGGGCCACCTCTACCCGATGACCCACAAGCCCCTCACGCTTAACACAACCCAAACTGAAGCTGGCCTCTCCTCCCAGATCTGCAACCTCCTCTTTCTGCCTCCATTCTCATATCCAAAGACTACCAAGTCCTGCTGACACCATCCCAGTCCCCAACTTCACTCCATCCCCATGCCACTGCCGCTGCTCAGACCTATCCTTCCTCCCCAGACCTTCACAACTAAGTGACCCTGTGTCCTACCTCACCTTACCTGTTGTTCACCCTGAGGGATCTGGCCAAACACAAGGAGGACCCTGTCCCTCCCCTGCCCAGCTCCCCCTCTCTCACCACCCCCACAACCAAGAGGACTAGCTCACCCCAAGTGAATAAAAGTTACATGACTGGAGAGAATCCTCTCACATATGTACATGTGTATATATGTGTGTACATATATATATGTATGTATATGTATATGTGTGTGTTGTGGATTGAATTGTGTACCCCCAAAATAGGTGTTGGAATCCTAATCCTTATACCTGTGGATACCCTGGTGGCACAGGGTTTAAGAGCTACAGCTGCTAACCAAAAGGTTGGCAGTTTGAATCCACCAGCCGCACCTTGGAAACGCTATGGGGCAGTTCTACTCTGTCCTTTAGGGTCACTATGAGTCAGAATTGACTTGACAGCAACGGGTTTGGGTTGGGTTTTTTTTTTTTTTGGTATACCTGTGGATGTAATCCCATTTGGAAATAGAGTTTTCTTTGTTATATTAATGAGGCAATATCAGTGTAGAGTGTGACCTAAACCTAATCACTTCTGAGTTATATAAAGAGTAGATGAGACATGGAAGGAAGCACAAATGGGGGTGGGGGATGGGGAGATCGCTGCCACGTGAGTGAAGATCACCAAGAACTGAGGAAAGCAGGGGCTACAGAAGCTGAAAGAGACAAGGATCTTCCCCTAGAGCTGACAGAGAGAGCCTTTTCCTAGAGCCAGTGCCCTAAATTCAGACTTCTAGTCTCCTGAGCCATGAGAAAATAGATATCTCTTCTTTAAAGCTGCCCACTTGTGGTATCTTCTGTTACAACAGCACTAGATAACTAAGTGTGTAAGTGCTGGGCTACTAACAGAAAGGTCGGTGGTTCGAATCCACCAGCCACTCCGTGGGAGAAAGACATGTCAGTCTGCTTCCCTAAAAGATGACAGCCTTGGAAACTCTATGGGACAGTTCTACTCTGTCCTACAGGGTTGCTGTGAGTCGGAATCAGCTCGAAAGCAACGGGTTTAGTTTGGGTTTTGGATATACCTATACATATATAGGAGTCCTAGTGGTGCAGTGGTTAAGAGCTCGGCTGCTAACCAAAAGGTTGGCAGTTTCAATCCACCAGCCGCTCCTTGGAAACCCGATGGGACAGTTCTCCTCTGTCCTATAGGGTCACTATGAGTCAGAATCGACCCGACGGCAATCGGTATACATATATATGACTCTGAGGTGATTTTTCCTAAAACTTGGGCAGCTGCTTCCATGAGCAGATAAGAAGCAAACAAGTGTTAAACGGTTGCTGCTGTTAGCTGCTGTCTAGTCAGCCCAACTCATAGAGACTCCACGTGTTAAACCAAAGCCTGAGAAACACCCAGTGACAGTTTACTGAGCACACGTGGGTTCGCAGGGATTCCACAGCATGGGCGTGTAGTGTGTCATGCTCACAGCACAGAATTAAGTGTATCCAGATTTCCAGACACTCCACAGTGAGCACTGGGGCACCCAGGAGCTCTGCCACCAGGACAAAGCCCAACTCCTCTGCCCAGCATTCAGCGGCCTTCACAACTCACCCTCCACTCTCACACACATGAGGTTCCACTCTGCCCAGGGAGAACTGTTAGGGTTCCAGACGCCAGGGGTTTCTGAGGCTGCATGCACTGCCCCATCCCACCCCAGTCTCCACCTGCAGCAGCGAGCCCTGAACTCCAGCCCAAAGCCTTCCTTGGACAGCCCCTGGGAAGTCAGGTAAGTAGTCACAGTCCATAACAGCAGCTCCTCAGGCTGTTAGTACTGCTCGGTTGGATCCATCTCCCATCCCGGCTGAGGCCTCCAGGACCAAGGCTTAAGAAGGTCCCTCTCCTCCTGGCCCTGGGGTTGCAGCCCAGGGGATCTGCATGCATGAAGGACTGAACCAAGGAGGGACAGCACGTGCAGACTACTCAGAACAGACCCTGCAAACCCAAGGCCTAGCAGAGGCCCCGCCAGGGTGGAAAATCCCACCTGAGGGCCACTGGACACACTATGGAAATTTGCCAACCTGGACGTGCCACTCTGGGAGGCCCATGCTCAGGGTGGTGACTGGTCTCCTCCAGCCTCTGCCCCACCCCCACCCGGTGAGGGCCTCTCTTTGTCCAGTCACTGAGCCCAGAAATCCAGAGACTGCTCAAGGCCATATTCCGCCTCCCTCCCTCCCTTCACTGTAAGGGGTTTGCCTCCTGAAATGTGGGGTTCCCAGAAGCCACCAGGGCTGCGCTCCCACCCGACTGCACCGCTAAATGCGCGCGCGCGCGCGCACCACCCCCCCCCCCCCCCCACACACACACACACGGGGTGGGGATAGGGGTCGAGTTCTCTCTCTGGGTTAATCAACAACCTGAGCGTCAGGCCTCAGTGAAGCAGCAACGCGGGGGGCGAAGTGAGTGGAGATCAGCTGCTGGCGCTGACCCCTCCAACACCCCGGCGGGGCCCAGGCGGTACTGACCGGTTCAGGGGCCGCGCCTCAGCGCACAAGCCCTTAGTGTCACGGGACATAGAGGAGAGGGGGACAGAACTTGGGGCAAACAAAGCCCAGCTCCAAAGACGGGAAGGGGCCCGAGACAGGTGCAGCGGGCAAGCTAAGACAAGTGCTTCTCTGCCCTCTCCATCTCCAGAGACGTGGCCGAATCCCCCATCATCAAGTCCTAGCGGCCCGATCGAGCACCACCCCCGGCTCAACAGACAGGCACGGACGCACGCACTCCAGAGATGGCGAGGGGATCGGGGGCCGCACCGAAGCGCAGAGTGCCCCACTAGCCCGGTGCACGCGCACATGCACACAAGCCGGTGCGCCGCGCTCCCGCAGCTCACCTGGCTACGGCCCGACAGCGAGAAGGTGGCGTGGCTCGCGAAGCGTGCGGTGCCCAGTCGGGGCGCGCGATCCGGGACCCTGGGTGCGGGCGGGGGACTGGACGTGCCAGGCGTACCGGTCGTGGGGGGCAGCCCGGTTGCCAAGCCCAGCGCCTCCACCTGGAGCGTCAAACGCTCGAGCTGCGCCTGCAGCCGCTGGTTATCGCGCTGCAGCTCGGCTACAGTACGCGCCAGCGGGCCGGCCAGGCGCAGCGCGTCGGCCACACGCCGCTCCACGCCGCGCTGCAGCCCCTGCATATCCTCGTGCAGGGCGCGCACCGCGTCCTCCAGCGCCGCCTCGTAGCGGCCCAGAGCTTCACGCACCGAGCGCGCCTCCTCTGCCTCGGGGGCCGGCTCCATGGCCGGGCAGGGCGCACAAGTGTGGGAGTCGCCCGGGATGGCAAGAGGATCCGAACTCCGCAGCTCGGTACAGCGACTGGCCGCGGAGGCTGGGTTCGCCAGATGGGCGGCCGGAGGGGCAGGAGGAAGGCGGGGCCGGCCCGCGAGCCCCGGGAGTGGGCGCTGCACGGGGGGCGGGGCGTCGGGGGCGGGGCCGGGCTCGCTTCCGGCCGGCCCTGGGACACCCTGCAACTGGAGACCCGCGGGGTGGGAGTCCTGGAGACCCAGGCTGCGGAGTCGCGGGGGATGTGCCGAGCCTGAGCCTCCTCTGACCTCAGAGGAGCAGCACGCGACCTGGGAGGGGCTACCGCCCCCGAGTAAACTTTGCTTTGGAAACAACACTCGCGGGTTATGCATTCCGTCAGGGCTCTCACCTGCAGGACCCGGGTCCTGCTGGAGGTAGGGACTCCCCCACTGCTCAAGGAGACCTGAGAGTAGCAGCCCCCAGAACTGCTGCCCTACCCTCACCTTGTGCCAGTCACCGCTCTCCCTCCGCTGTGGGCGCGGCTGTCACATACACATACGTACCTGCGGGCCTTTCGCCTGGAACTTCCTGCACCTATTGTAAGACTTCAGGGAGAAGGAGGCAGGTGATGCGATGCCTTCCTTGTCCCTACAATTATGCGCTCTCCCCTCCCAGCCCCACTCAGTGCAGCAAAATATTTGTGCCTTTCTGGTCAGTGCTCAGGAGGGGCTCCAGGTTCACCAACAGGTACCTGTTAAGGGAGCTGGGGGAGGCTGAGGGTAGATGGGCAGGGAAGGGTGTGCTTGGGGCTGAATCTCCAACTCCTGGGGTGGGCGACTTCGGGACTAATCACTTCCCTACTCCATCAGGGTCTCAGTCACTACCCACAGGCCACGGCTCCCACCTGCGTTACCTCTGAACATGCCATTCGTATCAACCCAGATATCCCCCTTCCAAACCCACCCCCACCACTATGACAAGAAAGGGAAAGAATGGGAACAATTGTTGCTTGAGGGTGATGGGATGATGGGCAAAGATATTGTAAGTTGCCTTGTATATTGTCAAATTGATTTTAAAAAAGAAAAAGAAAAAAGAAACATCCCATCCTTCTCTATGCAAAAGCTTTTTCTGATGAAATTCCTCCTTCCCGGGCCTGGCCCACCTGGAAGGAGGCCCGCCCACAATGACCCACAGAAATGTGATGTCTGAAAGGCTTGTTCCTGTCAAGTTCCACTTTCGAGGATGGGAGCCCCGGACCTCGTGGACTGGCCTGCACTGTCCCGAGAAGCTGGATCAGATGCTGAGCGCTGACCATCCCCCGTCCGCCAATAGGAACAGGAAGGAACGCTGGGTTACCTAATCCAAGGAGCCTTCCAGCAATTATTTCATGAGCAAGTTGAGTGCCAAAAGGCATGCATGTGTGTGTGCACGCATATGTATGTTCCAAGTAGCCGTCTGGACAGGGTGAGCCAAACCACTCCTGCATTCTTTCTCTGGGTGGAATCTCTGATACAGACAGTGAGACGCTGCAGCAGTTGCTGCCCCAGACAACACCCATAGCCCCTACAGGTTTGAGCACAGGAGCCTCGAGTTCAAAGACCCTGGTCTCAGCCTGAAAAGCCCAGTTCCTACCTTTGCAGGACCCAAGGAAGGGCTGTGTGAGGAAGTCTTGGGACTGGGCAGCTTTATCCCTGGCCCCACAACTGGCATGCATCTGGTCAAGTGCCTGAGCATGAGCCTGGGCAGCCAGCATCATGGGGCATGGGCAGAGGGCAGGCTTTCTCACCGTCATCCAAGAGAATGACGTCTGGCTCAGCCCTGGGGCAGGAACTCTGTGGGGAGGAGGAGGCGATAGAGTAGAGACTGGCTTCCCAGGATCCATCCACACTCCCCAACTTCAGGTCAGTTATCTGGTCCCCCTGATGCACCCTGAGAATATCCGGGAGGGGCTGCTTAGGGAAGGGCAGGATTCCATCTGGAGCTGAGGTCCAGAACGTCAAGGGCAACGGGGCTCGCTGTGAGTTCTGGGAAGGCAGACTGGGCAAGAATCAAACCATCCCCCTTGGCTCCTTTCCCTCGGCAGTCAGACCACTGAGTCAGGAGCTGGAGATGAGCCTAGGGGAGAGGGAGAGATGAACCATGAGTGTGACGAAGAGGGTCAGAGGGTGGGGAAGGGAGGAAAGGAAGGAGGGATGGAGGGAGGTGGCAATTCTGGGGGAAGGAGCGGGTGGGACTGAGGACCAGCACACACTATGAGCTGGCTCCATAACAACTAGGGTGAGGCTTAGGCTGTACTCCCGGGCCCAGGGGGCTCCTCTCGGCCCCTTCCTCGAGGCCCCTCCCCTCACTCTCCTCCGGCTCAGGTCCTGCCCAGTACCAGGCTGTGAGGGAGGTGAGGGCTGCTGAACCAGCCTGAACACCCTTCACATTCACCAGCCCTGATGTCAGCGAGCAGGGAGGCTGACCTCCCACCAAGTCTGCGGGCTCTGGCGCCTGCCGCCCTGCCCCTTCAGCTCCCCCTCACCTGGCTCTGACCCCTCAGCCGCCTGCTGGTCCCGTGTGTGCTCTGCTTGGGTTCTAGTCTTGAAGCAGGATGTGCAACAAGCCTGACAGAGTCCCTCCGTCAGTCAGCTTTCAACATCAAATCCTTGCCAGACTGAAACTGCAAAGTCAGGGAAGTTAGAGTTACGGGCCTCAGGTGGGGAAACTGAAGCTCTGAGAGGGGCAGCGACTGGCCCAAGGCCACAGCAAGACAGCCAAAGATAGGACTGGAACCCAGAGTCCTGGCCCAGGATTTGAGGTGTTTCTCTCTCCTTCCTGCCAGTCTGAGCACACCTTCTGGGGCAACAGACAAATTCAGCCAAGTCCACGCAGCTGCTCCCTGCTCCCCACATTGGCCAGAGGCTCCACTCCCCTGGAATTGCTCCTCAGAGGTCTCCAATGACACCCCATGGCCCTTTAGCAGTAGCCCTCAAGAACCACTCCTTCCTCCTCCAAGCTCTTCCCGTGGCCTCACTCTCCTGACTTGGGAAGTAGCCTCCCACCTCTTTGCCTTTTTGTTCCTAGTGACCTTTCTAAGTGACTCCTCTCTCAGTCATGCCTTAACTGTGGTGGACTTCACACACCCTCCCCGGGTGGCATCACCTATTCCCACATGCATGGGCGCTTGCCACCTCCAACCCAAGGACTCCCCCTTTCATGCCCCCACCCAGCCTCTGTCCTGAGCCTCTCTTGGTACACCCACCTGCCTCCAGGATCTCTCTGCTGAACATTCCACGCAGCCCTCAGACTCCTCAGGTCCCGAGTGAACTCCCAACAGGCTTACAGGGTGGGCAAGGACAGAAACAGTGGTGTTAAATCCCCTGCACCAGGCAGGAGCGGCTCTGCCCACTGCACAGTACTGCCCTGCTCCCTCTCCACCTCACGGGCCCACGTGCATGGGCGCACACACCCACAGACACCCATCAGACCCACCCACTGGAGCCACACCTGGAGTGACAACCGGCTCTAGTAAGTGCTCAGTAAACACTGGCTGATTGAAAGTCTGGGAGGAGGGGACTAATCAGAGAGCCCGTGGGCCAGCAAGACTGGGATGGGTGACCATGGGGGATGAGGGAGGGGAGAGAGGCAAGGGTGACTCCCAAATCCTGTACTGAGCATCTGGGGGGCACGAGGACGCCATTCACAAAGGTAGGTCACAGAGAGAGTGCGTTATAAGGAGTTGTGGAGGGAATTGTGAGCTATGTGGGACTTACGGGGCCACACAGGGCCTGTCTCCAAGGTCACATCGGCCTTTGCACTGAGCCAAAGGCAGCAGCTGTTGATCTCACTGGGGATCCCTGAGGATCCCTCCAGGCCCCTTCACCAGGAAGACCTCCAGTTGAAGGGTCATGAGCCAGGCCAGAATCCATTATCTGCCAGGCCCTGATTGGCCCTGCCCCACCCTCCATGGAGCCCTTGAATTGCCAGGCAGGTAACAGCCTTGGAAACCAGGTTTTGTAACTGGGAAGATGCATAAAACCAGCCATACCCCACCGTTCATGGTCCACAGCTGAAGGTACCCACAGGGAACAAGCTAACCAGGTCTCAGAGAAAGAAGTGTACTCCAGGATGGAACCCCACCACCCCTGCAAACATGCCATCCCATGCTCCTCCTCCCAAATCCTGAATCCAGCCTCTGCCCCTGGAAACCACTGCCTTGTTAGGAGATCTGTAGGGGTGGGGACACAGGGCTTACACTTATCTTTTCCTGCCAGGTTGCTGGGTTCAGGGGCCAAGAGGAATGATAAGGAGCGAGGTTGAAGCCATGTGGGAGGCTGTGCAGGAGCAGAAGGCCCCAGAGTCGGCAGGTCTCGGAGACCCCAGGTCTCATCTCTAGCAAAGACCAGAGCTGTGCCCAGGAGGGGGGCACGTGGATCTCTGCCCTCCTCCCCACAGCTCTGCCTGCCTGAAGGGGAGCCACAAGAACCAACCTCCGAAACCTCAGACCCCTTGGAGGTCGGAAAGAGACTCTTGCCTCCTGGATAACTCCAACTCCCCTCCCACCAAACCCTACTTTAAACTACAGCCTTCCATCCCAGAAGACACTCTCTCGGATGTTCACCTTTCGCCTGTGTGTGGATAGTGTGCCAATGTACCTTTGTCTGCATGGATGAACAATGTGGGGGTTATGGAGTCTATACATATCTGTGCACACAGCTGCACATACACGATGTGTGGGGGATATGTATGTGCACATTTGCAAGTACCCATGGTTATAGGAGGGTTTTTATATGCATTTGCCCATAGGTGGTGAACATATGTAAGTACACACACATACATGTGTGTCTACAGTACATCAAAATATGCCCTTAGCCCATATGTAATCATGTTTGTATGTATGTCATGTGTGTCTACATATGCCTACGTATATTAAATGTGTGTATTGTAATGCATGTGTGACCATTAGTGTATGCATGAGTCTGAACATACATGTCATGTGACCCATTTCTGGTAA